CCATGAGGTCGAGCCGATCGCCGTGATAGAGCGCTTCCCAGTCGGTCCGCGCCCGGTTCCACCAGTCGGGGAGCGGATCGGGCACTGCCGGAGCCGAAAGCAACGTCAGCGGTGCGCCGGTCTTTTCCGCCCAGAGCGCAAAGATTTTCTGGTGGTCGTCGGCGCTCTGTCGCGCGCATAACATCGAAGGCACCGGCAATCCGCCCCAGGGCTGGCGCTCGGCGTCACCTTCCAGTTCCGCAATCAGCGGCAGGCTGGAATACCGCGCAAGCCGTTCATGATAGCCGATTGCCTGCATATGATCGAAGTAGAATTCCGAGAGCTGCTTGGCCGCGATCACCGCCGACCACCACTGATTGGTGACGATGGGCACGCCCATGGCGTGGAACAGCTCGTGCGGGGTGTCGGCGTTGACAAACGCATACTGCGCGCCCGAGGTGATCTCGGCCCGCAAACCCTTCAGCCAATCGCGTTGGTATTCGGTTGCGGCACGGGTCGCCTGGAGAGGTTCATAGGTCATGAGCGCGCCTCGGCTGCACGCGCAATCAATTTCCCGGCTCGCGCCAGCCAGGCATCGTCTGGTTGCGCATCCCGAAAGCCGAGATTGACGAACCGGATCCCGCGATCTTCCAGCTGACGCGAGAGTTCGGGAATATCCCACCCGAACGTGTCGTCGGTCTGGGCGAGTTGGCAGAGCACCAGTTCGCATCGCGCTGCCACCAGCGCCTCGACCACCCGCTCGCGATAGCGATTTGGTGGCGAAATACGGTGGCAGAAGGCGTCACCGGCCAAAAGCTCGAGCATGGTTTCAACCGTCTCGGCCTCTTCCCAATCGCCCGGCCAGATTTGCCCAAAGGGCTGAAGGTCGCAGACGATGGGCCCGTACTTGCCAAAGGTCGTGTATGCCCGCTCGCTGAAAAGCGGTGAGCCGACGATCCCAAGCCGTACTCCACTGCCCGCGTCGGTTGGCCCGGTCTGGTCCATCGCCTCTTCGAGCAATTGCGCGTGGCGCTGCATCGGCAGGAACCGCCCGGCAATGCGAAACATCATAGCATCCTCTGCGCTTCCCAACGTGGCGGCGAGCGCCTTGTGACGGCGGCCGGCGTGCCGGGCCTGCTGGGCAAGCTCACCGTCGCCAATCCGAGGCAGCCCGATCCCGGCCAGGAAATCCATGAGCTTTTCGATCTGCATCCTGTTGAACGTCCGCACCGGCGCCGTTGCGGCATGTATGGTGTTGAGCAGAAACAAGGGCGGGGTTGCGCCACGGACACTGCCTTGCCGCACCCATTCGAGGGCATATTGATAGGCCGTCAGCGCCGGCGCATCATCGCGCACGAACACAATGCCGGCAAACCCATCGAAGGCCCCGTCGGCGAACCGATTGAGGAAAATCCGCACTTCGGGGTCAACGAACGGTTCGATCACAGCGTCCATCGCGCCCGGGGCGGCCTGGTCGAGCCGACCGAAATTCACATGCACCGGCGTCGCCCCGCTTGCGGCAATCAAGGTTTCCGGTGCGCCGTTTCCAAACACCCCGACGATCGGCGTATCGAGTTTGGCGCCGCCGCCGTCGGCACCAGCAAACACGCGCGCCAGAATTTCCGCGGCGTCCGAGCGCCTCGCACCGATCGAATCCATAAGCGAACTCCTCACTATATAGTTCACTTTATGAACTAATTGACACCCAGTCAACCGGTTCGGTTTGACTCAGGATGGTTCCGCCGCTAGTCACCGTCAGCCCGAACGCAAGGAGTTCCCATGACCAAGCTGGATGCCGATCAGAGCCAGCCCGCCGGTGTCAACCTAGGGACCCTGCGCGAAAACCTGCCCTTTCTGACCCGCGCGCTGCGCGCCTATATCCGCGTCGAGAACGCCGACTTTTTCGCCGATTTCGAAACCGAACAGGGCGAGATCGCCGTTATCAGCCTGATCGGGCTCAATCCCGGCATATCCCAAAACGAGGTGGCGGCGACGCTGGTGCTCAAAAAGTCGGCCGTCACCAAGGTCATCAAGGGGCTAGAGGATCGCGGACTGGTACAACGTGAAAAGGTCGAAACCGACAAGCGCTTCAATGCCCTGACGCTGACGTCCGAGGGCCAGGACAAATATGGGCGCATCAATGCCCGCATGAGCGAGCAGCATGACACCCTGCTCGCCCCGTTCGAGACGGAAGAGCGCGCGCAGCTTTTTGGCCTACTCAACCGCTTGCACCAGCACCTTGTCGCGCGCGACCATCGGCGCACGGGAACGGTGAGCGGAATTGCCGGCGGCGCCGACGACTGATCAGAGCTTGACAGGGTTCGCATCGCTAGTTCATTAAGTGAACTATTGATGGAGGAACCGAACTTGGCTCAACCCCTGGCCGGCGTTCGTATTGCCGATTTCAGTCACGTGATTGCCGGCCCGCTGGCGACCCATTTCCTTTGCCTGCTTGGCGCAGAGGTAATCAAGGTCGAGCCACCCACCGGGGACGTATTGCGCAGCTACACAAGGCGGCGCGAGTTGCGCGGCATGGCCGAGCCTTTCATCGGCGCCAATGCCGGAAAGAAGTCCATCGTTCTTGATCTCAAATCCGATTTCGGGCGCAAGGCCGCGCACAAGCTGATCGCGACCAGTGACATCATGGTGGAAAATTTCCGCCCCGGTGTCATCGACAGGCTGGGCCTGGGATATGAAGGGCTCAAGCAGGATAATCCCGGCCTGATCTTCTGTTCGATTTCCGGCTATGGCCAGTCCGGCCCGATGCGCGATTATCCGGCCATCGACCAGATTATCCAGAGCGTTTCGGGGCTTATGAGCCTTTCGGGTGAACCCGGCAGCGGCCCCATGCGCGTGGGCTTTCCCATCGTCGATACCTACAGCGCGCTTCTGGCCGCCTTCGCCATTCAATCGGCCTTTATCCAGCGCGAGCGCGACCCCAAGGGCGCGGGCCAGCACATCGACATGTCGATGCTCGACGCCTCGCTTGTCATGATGGCCTCGGTGGTCAACCCGATGCTGATCTCGGGCACCGAGCCGCGCCGCACGGGAAATCGCGGTTTCTCTCTGGCGCCCACCGCCGACACGTTCGCCACCAGCGACCAGCCCATCACCATAGGCGCTGTGCAGCAGAACCAGTACGAGCGCCTTTGCACGGCGCTCGAGCGTCCCGATCTTGTGGTCGACCCCCGGTTTGCCGATGGCGACAGCCGCATGGCGCACGAAAAGGAATTGCAGGGCGAACTCGCTACCACGTTCAAAACCCGCACCGCGCTGGAATGGGAGCGCATCCTTTCGGCCGCGGGCGTGCCCGCCGGGGCGGTACGCCCGGTCCGCGACGTGCTCGCCCTGCCCCAACTCGAAGCCCGAGACCTTCAGATCGAGCTCGATGTGCCCAATCCGGCTGTCGGGAAGACGTCGATCCTCAACGCCGGCTTCAAGTTCGCCCATGACGGTCCCGCCGTTTCCGAACCTCCCCCGACATTGGGCCAGCATACGAGCGAAATCCTCGCCGAACTGGGCCTTGCCGAACAGGCGCTATAGATCAAATCCGCTTTTCGCTTGCGCGGCCCTTCGGGTCTT